TAACGATAACTAACGATGATGAGAAAATGGAATATGGAAAAGTTTAAAAATATCTCTTATCTGTCGTAAACATTTTGTGCTCCTTTTTGAACTCAAACTACACAGTGTGTATATTATTCCATTTAAACTAATATTAAATAAATGAGAAAACAGTAGGGCCTATACTTTACATGATATACGTATATATAAAAGACAAGACTAGCTTTATATATACAATGTGCATTTACATTTGTTTTGTACACATGAATATTACAATTTTATTTCCTTGATTCTTTACATTTAGATATTTTTATCCTTCTTGATTTTCTGCTATTTTCCTCTTCGACAAGCTTTTCCTTAATGCTTATATTATTTCCTATAATTCTACATCTCTCAAAAATATGTTCAAATGTCTCTAGCTCCAATTTACATAATCTGCATATCTCCTTTTCTTCTTCTCCTCAGTATTTCTACCGTCCTATTCCCATTTCCTAGTTTAAATCTTCCTGTTAGAACTAATTGGTTTTTTTTTTCGCTCTTTCGTCTTTAAAATAATTTGGTTTCTCCTCCCTTTCTTTCCATATTTTCTTGTATTCCTGTGCAAATGGCAACTGTTTCATTAATTGTATTTATTTGTGTTCTTTCCATGCACTTCCAACTTTCATCTATAGTGCTTGATTGCCCTTCCTCTTTCCATTAAAAAATTGTTTCATTCCTTTTTCCATCTTTAGCTTATGATTTTCTTTTCTACGATTTGAATATTCGATATATTATACTTAACTTTTATACATTGTTTTAATATCATATTGTCTTCTGAATTTAACACTTTTTGACGTGACAAGTCGATAGAGCCGGCTGCACGCACGAAAAAACATTAGTCATGCGGCGTTACCTTGCTCTTAGGCGTTCCATTTAAGGCTTGAAGTGCAAGCGAGATCGCGGAACGAGCGACAAAGAGGCACAATCGGCCTCCGCGTTCGGCAGCGTTCGACATCTGTCTCTCTCCTACTTGAGTGAGCAATGCGTCCGCGTGGACAGCTGCTATACAGTAATAAATTTCCATTTACCTCCTTCTCCATATCCATACAAAATATCCATCAAACAAATAAAATTAAAATTTTCTTTTGAAAAATGAAACCATTTAATCAGTATTTTCTTATGACGTTGTCACGTTCAACTATCGTCAGTAAACCGACTTTTTTTAAATATTCTATGGCTAACATTTCTGTTTTCATTTATTATTGTAGAAGGTATTTCAAGTATTTCTATCTAATTTTAAAATCCATCATATATATCTGTCTTGAATACTATCATAAGGTCAATGCGAATATGAAAACGTGATGTACTGCTGGGCTCGTTCCCCACAGTTCTGCATTTCAACTATTATAGATTTCGAGGTTTTTCAACGTAGACCTCAGCCTTTAGGTTTCCTCATAAAAAATAATCACGTATGGTAAAGTCCGGGAAACAAATCGCTCAAGGCGGATAATGGAAAATTACGTGTCCGGAAGAATATGGAGTACCACTTTCCATTGAAGTTCTGTCTGTATTTAGTTTCACTATCCTGTTAGAACCAAGCATTTATTGTGTTAATTCATCGACGTCGCAAGTCTGAGATAAATTTGTTTTCCATTATGTTTCCATATTATTTATAAGTTCATAACGTTGTATCGCCTAATTTCGATTATGATGTTACAAGCGCAATTTTCAGTCCCTTCACAAAATATTTTTTGTATCTTTTTTTACTTGGGAAACTGATTTAGTACAGTTGTTGGCCACATGTGGCTCTTTGACTTCTTCAGTGTGCAGTTGCTACAGATGACCTCATACAGGCGTAAATTATGGTTAAAATTGCGTATAACGTCAAAAAATAGCGCAACATCATGCTAACGAAGAGCGTACGCTGTATCAACTCCCACTTGGCAACGCTTCGCGCCGGTTCATCCTTTTGAATTACTAACAGGAAAGATGGGCTGTTATAGGAGGACGATAAAAGTACTGTCGATGGAGAAGTACAGAGACAAGGAGGTTCTACTAAATGTAGGATAACAAAGGCGCTATGGAAGGCAACATGGTAAAGAAGAGATATAATAATAAGACATCTCAGACATGGAAAACCTAGATTAGATTACTGTTCATAATAAATACCTAGTTAAGCATATGGGGTTTTCCAGTTTTTGGAGAATATGAAAATTAACTCAGGATAAGAAGACATAGAGTCATCAGTATGAAAACTGAAGACTGATGATCCTATGGTGATGATGTATTATATGGCTCTCTGATATTTTCATCACCTTGTTTCCCTTAACAATTTGGCTCTTCTATCTCGAAAATGTGACGACTCCTAGAATAATAGAGGGCAGTGGCTGAAAACGTACGGCCTGGAGGACACGAGCGACCTTGATAGCCTCCTTTATTACTGCCCAATTTTAATGTGACACCAGGTGGTAAAAACACTCCCCACCTCTGGTATAAAGCTACAGGAAATCTCAAAGTATACACTATATAAATTGCAGCTTTCGTAAAAATGTACAGTCGTATCTATGATTGTGCCTGTGTGTTTTCGCAAATTCCAAAAGCCCTTCGGCGTGCACATGTCCTCTTTACTGCTAAATCAGCGGACTATATTATATACATAACTCAATACCAAGATCCGCATTTTCGCATACGGTATACGCAAAAAGCGTTCTATAAATAAAATTAAACAAACTGACAAGCAAACAATTGTCAAAATAAGATCATAAAGTTGTAAATTATTGGAGTTTATCGAACCCGTTAAAATGTTACTTTTATTAAAACGTATTTTATCGATTGTTTTGCTAATTGGTGTAATTGCAATAAAATAATCCAGAAATTCATTTAATGTTTAGTATCGTTTTAAAATCAACACTAACAATAAATACAAATATAAGAAAATCTTTTTAACAATAAAATGGTAAGTATATTTTTAATACAAATATAAGAAATGAAAATGTCATAGTTAATGTTCAGAAAAACTCTCACTTATCAACTCACTACACTCATCCTTACTTTCATCACAATTTCTCAATATATACATGCAACAAAGTTTCCTCTTTCACTCCTCATCTGCTGCATAACCTTTCATACTCCTTCATCCGATACTTACACTCTTTACATTAATTTTCCATTCTAAACCTTGCAGTCACATCCATCTCTTTTATTACTTTCAAACATCCTGGCACAAATTCTCCCCGCCAGTGCTCCCACATCCAAGCCTTTATGCATCCTACGTACCCTGATATATCAATTTTCCTCAAATCATTCACGCATCCTTCCCCATTCATTATCTGTTTTTGATCTAATTTCACTCCCTCCGTGTCTCCTCTCTTTCCTTCTCGTACCTATTTTTGTACTTATCTCTAATATTCTCCTCCTCCAAATTTCTTTTCTTATATCCCTTTTTAGATTTTCTAACTTTTTCTCATACTTAACTACTATTTTTCTGGTTTTCTCTACCAACTTTCCACATTCTATTTCCCTTCCAATAGCGTAATCTAGTGTATTTCTATCTACCCTGAATACGGGANTTCTTGTAAGACAGAAATACCTCTGGAACTAAACTAATCTTGTAATCCAGAATACATACCTCTGATAGTCTACAATTCTTGTAAGCCAGAAATACCTCTGCTACTAGACTATTCTTGTAATCCAGTGATACATACCTCTGATAATTTACAATTCTTGTAAGCCAAAAATATCCCTTTTTAGATTTTCTAACTTTTTCTCATACTTAACTACTATTTTTCTGGTTTTCTCTACCAACTTTCCACATTCTATTTCCCTTCCAATAGCGTAATCTAGTGTATTTCTATCTACCCTGAATACGGGACGCGCGATCTCCATCTCCAGTTCAGCAACAGACAATCTAAAGTTCCGGACTATATGCCTTAGGAGACAAAATAGTGAACAGTTTTGACGTCACCATGATCCATCATGACAAGGTTTACATCAATAAGACACGGTTAGAATCGCAAAATCAAGTTTCTTCAGACGACAGCCGAGAATCAACTTCTACGTATCACAAACATTCATCATTAGTCAATGTCAGTTTCCCAATTAACTACGTTTAAGTTGATTTCGTTTTTATAGTATTTCAGACCCTAGCACCCTTGAAGATTTTAATAAACTTCTTTCTCATTGCTACACGTTGTTGCATTGTCTTTTGTTTAATAATAAAACTTCAACAAAGCTCAAACACGATCACAATAAAAGACTTACCTACCTACTTAACGTAAGCTTATAAAACAAGTCAATAGAGTATTGGCATTTGAAGGTCTTATCTGATAAAACAGATGAATGACTGCAGCATTACAGTCTATTTAGCACCATCTTGCCTTCTGAATGAAAATTCTTTCCGAACAGCTTCAATAGAAACAAATCTACCGTAAAAAACCTCTTACAATACTGATAGACGAACAAACAAAGTCACAGCTTTTCTAAAGTAATTCACACGTATAAAAAATTCATGTTCAAAAAACACAAAACATTAGAGGTATTATTTTCGATGGTATTTGCAATTCTGACTTCAGATTTACTCCAGCATTTCAGAATTTAAAGATTACCCAAAAAATCAACTTTTGTATTTTGAGAGCACTACTACATGGAGCAAAAGGTCAGATTCAAGTTCGCCTTCGAAAATTATTACTTTTTATTTCCTTATTTTCAACCCACAATGGTAATGCTCTTAAACAGAACTAAAGTTACATTTTTCGAATTATAAGGTTACATTATCTCACAAATTGCGTCTCTCTGGTTTTTGTTTCCTGGCACGTGTAATAAATAGACCAGTGATCATTTAATCGCACAGTCGCTACTAATTTCGTAATGAACTTTTGATCTACATTGTGCAACTATTTATGAAAATTCGCCCAACAGAAAACTTATCTCCTTTATAGTAGCTTTTCAAATGATTCTTCATTTATTAAAGCAGTTGTACTATAAATAATATTATTTATAAACTACCAATATCTGTCGGTTTATAATTGTTTTCCTTGTTTCAGACGATGGGATTACATATTCATTTGGGATATTTTATGATGAATTTTTGGAATACTTTAAGGAGGGTGCCGGAAAAACATCCTGGGTCGTATCCATCTTGGTTGGCACCACATTTTGTTCAGGTAAATTTCAGAACTATACACGCATATTTAAATTTAATTAATTCACTGAGAATTGTATGCGAAACTGTCTGGAGTATCAACAGTCAAATAAGAGAGGAGCATACATTAGAAAATAATACCACCCCTCTATTTAGTACTTTTCTCTTAATAAGTTAACTTTCAAATTTAGATACCTAAAGATTTTATAAAATTTCCTTTCGTTTAAGACTACTATCTACTTGAGAAAACTTTTTAAAGACATGAGTCGTCTATATGATTACGCCATGGATTAGAAATTAAGAACTGAAATAAGCCTCAGGGCAGGTATTCACTAAACTATTTAGAACACGAACGCAGAGTTCGATTCACGTTCGTTTGATGTAAGCAATAATCGGTCAGACTGTCATAAAACGTGTTCAAAAAGCATCTGAAAATCAATGACGAACACAAACAGGATAGTCAATTAGGACAGCACTCACAAATGAACTGATTGCTGAGGCAAACATCATTACTAGCAAGTTTGCGTTACTGTATGATAAGTTGATATTAAAATATCCATATTTACCTTTGTACTGGTACCTTTATTGATTAACTAATAACTATTATTAAGCAACTAAATAATATTTACCATAAAAAAGGGCCGTTAAATAATAAGAAAAGTTATTAATAAATGTGTCTTCTTATATTTCATCGTGACTCAAAGAAACGATCTGCAGAACCCTGATTCTATAGCTTTTGTGGTACTGGATGATTCTGGCTCCTAACAATACCTTTAGTAATCAATAGTTCTTGTCATCCAATAATGCCTCGTACTCGACAATTCTTGTAAGTCAGAAATACCTTTGCTATTCGACAATAGTTATAAACCAGTAATACCTCTACTATTCTGGTAATCCAATAAAACATACCCCTGATAGTCTTGTAAGTCCAAAATACTTCTGATGTTCAACAACTTTTGTGAGCCAAAAATACCTCTTGTACTCGAACTATTCTTGTAATCCAGTAAAACATACCTCTGATTTACAGTTCTTGTAAACCGGTAACATCTCTAGTACTTGACTATTCTATTAATCCAGTAAAACATGCCTATGATAATTTACAATTCTTGTAGGCCAAAAATAACCTCCTTTATTTGATTTTTCTTATAATCCCGTATATATACCTCTGATAGTTTACAATTTTTGTAAGTCAAAAATACCTCTATTACCCGAATTTTCTTCTAATCTACTATAGAATACATACCTCTGATAGTCTACAATTCTTGTAAGTTAAAAATACCTCTGCTGCTAGACTAATCTTGTAATCCAGTAATACATACCTCTCATAATTTACAATTATTGTAAACCAAAAATAACCTTCGTTACTCGACTTTTTTTGTAATCCAAAATATATACCTCTGATGGTTTGCAATTCTTGTAAGACAGAAATACCTCTGGAACTAAACTAATCTTGTAATCCAGAATACATACCTCTGATAGTCTACAATTCTTGTAAGCCAGAAATACCTCTGCTACTAGACTATTCTTGTAATCCAGTAATACATACCTCTGATAATTTACAATTCTTATAAGCCAGAAATACCTCTGCTACTAGAGTATTCTTGTAATTCTTATATTCTTGATAATTTACAATTCTTGTAAACCAAAAATAACCTTTGTTACTCAACTTTTCTTGTAATCCAGTATATATACCTCTGATACTTTACAATTCTTGTAAGCCAGATATACCTCTACTGCTAGACTATTCTTAATCCAGTAATACATACCTCTCATAATTTACAATTATTGTAAACCAAAAATACCTTCGTTACTGGACATTTCTTGTAATCCAGTATATACCTCTGATAGTTTACAATTCTTGTAAGCCAGAAATACTTCTGGTACTGGACTATTCTTGGCTTTTCTTGTAATCTAGAATACATACCTCTGATAGTCTACAATTCTTATAAGCCAGAAATACCTCTGCTACTAGAGTATTCTTGTAATTCTTATATTCTTGATAATTTACAATTCTTGTAAACCAAAAATAACCTTTGTTACTCAACTTTTCTTGTAATCCAGTATATATACCTCTGATACTTTACAATTCTTGTAAGCCAGATATACCTCTACTGCTAGACTATTCTTAATCCAGTAATACATCCTCTAATAGTTTACAATTCTTGTAAATCAGTAATGAATGTTTAAACTAAATTAGAAATATTAGTTTTATATTAGTTTTATCTTGATGAATTTGGACTTAAGAATAAATTTATCAAATTATTGTATTTTCGATGTTCTTTGACGCATTTAGGACAACAACGCCAGAGAACCCGTGGGCAAAAGCTTGTGAATTACATAAAAACAAAATAATATAATAAACGTAATAAGTTTATCCCAGCAATAGCTATTTGCGTGCTGTGTTCGTTTCATGTAGTATGCATTCGATTGTGTGAAAGCAATTAATATTGACCATATATATTTTATTCGTTCGCTGCAGAATATGCGAAGCATATTTTCAATTCAAAGCGTACGTACATAAAAATATTTTAATTATAGGTCCTATATCTAGTGCATTTGTCAACAAGTATGGCTGTAGAGCGGTAACTATGGCCGGGGCTGTTCTAGCAACAGTTTCCATGGTACTCAGCTGCTTTGCACAGAATGTGACGACTTTACTTTTTACGATCGGCATTGGAACCGGTCTTGGTTTTGGCTTGATCTATCTTCCGGCGATTGTAAGTGTAACAACGTATTTCGAAAAAAAGCGCTCCCTGGCCACAGGCATTGCAGTATGCGGAGCAGGATTCGGGACATTCGCATTTGCCCCAGTGATTACTCTTCTTATACAAGAGTTTGGCTGGAGAGGAGCTATGCTCATTACCGCTGGAATAGTTTTGGAATGTGCAGTTTGTGGTGCCCTATTTAGACCATTGGAATACGAAAAGAAACAAGTACAAAGTAATAGCTTCAACCCGCTGAAAAACAGTGAGGCAAAAACTGATTTGCACTATTCAGACGGCAACAATTATCTAGAATTATCGAACGGAAATGCCAACTTGACAAGACCGCACAGTATGATTCACTTTTCTATTCCAAAAGGCGGTAAGTCTGGAATTGACGATAAATATCATCGTAATCCAAAAAACAAACACATGGGAACAACGCGACTTGCGTCTAGTCATCCTGTATTAATAACGTCCACCCAATCCGAAGGGAACGCAAGAGCGTTTGAAAGCCAAAGCTGGAGGAGAAGACCCATTTCAAGACCAGATGTATTTTACCAAGGCAGTCTTCTAAACATTCCTAATTACCGTTCTCGCTCTGAACTCAAAAAGTCCACCGAAGAAGCTGATCTCGTTGAAAGAAGACATTCGCTTACCACATTCAGACATAAATACACTGATCCTGAAGTAAAATCGTCGAAAATATGTTGTGGTATGTTTTCGTGTTCGGAAGAAACGAAGGAAACTTTAACCGTGATGATGGACGTTTCCCTACTGAAAGATGTAATATTCATCATATTTTCTCTTAGTAACTTCCTAACGAGTATAGGTTTCAATATTCCCTTCGTCTATATAATATCAAAAGCGAAATTATTGGGATTAACGGCTGAAGAAGCCAGTTGGCTGATTTGTATAATTGGAGCGTCAAATACAGTAGGAAGAATTGTACTTGGATACATTTCTGATAAGCCATGGGTCAATCGACTTCTGGTGTATAACTTGTGCCTAACAATATGTGGAGTGGGTAAGTGTCTAATTTCAATTTAAAATTTTGGTTATTTTTCATCCTTTTTCCTAACTTTCTAAAAATACAAAAAGTAGAAGAAGACAAAACAAAACACAAATAGGACAACTAGGCAAAACAATGCAACATTTTTAAAACCAAAAATCATTATTAGTAAAGTGCCCTTCTACATAAATTTTAAACAAATTAAAAAATATGTTTGTCTTCATTCCTCTATTTTCTACATTTTTATGAAAGTGTTTGTACATCTTTAACTATTATGGTTTCGCAGATTTAACCGTTATGAAATATATAAAATATATATAAAATAAAATCAGGTGTCCCATCATTGGGGCCATTTTTTCAATCCCTGCAAAAGATGAATCAGTTACATCAGGTTGTCTTGTTTATATAAACATAACTGATTTCGGTTTCATTTTTCCCCGAATTATCCAAATAAAAATAACTATTTCAGCTATTCAATTATTAGACAATCTTAATGTTTGTAAGCCGTAGCCTCCCTTCCAAGCTGTCTATTTTTCCCTTCTTTGGCGTAACTGTAAACCTAGCATCATGGTAAATAATTCATCATTCATGTTGGTTAACTCAACATAAGTGCAAAGGAGTCAAAAAAGATTAAAATAATATCGCCATTGACTAAAAAAGCATAAACAGTAAAATAAACCATAATAATAATTAATTGTCCACCGAATAGGTAGGTTTTTACAAAATTATACTAATTGAAATAAATCCTGGGCGGCGCCGCTTATCACGTATTTGTTTACATTAAGTAGTCAATTTGACAAAATTAGATGGTTCTAGTTTCCAGGCACTACTTCATGCAATATTTAAAAATATTTTANTTCTAGTATAAAATATTACCATTCGCTGTAATGTTCCGTATAAAAAAACATCATTTACACTGAAATTCATACATTCATACATACACATTACACATATCTTCTCATATTATGTGATATGACCAATCAGGCTGATCTTATAATACTGACCACAATGAAATCTGGAATTTTGTAAATATACCTAGTGCCGTTTTACATTGCACGTGCCAGCAACTGTAGAGTGTAGATACTAATAGAAAATAAAATAAAAGTTAGAAAACAATGAACACATAATTACAAAGGCAATTTTTATCGGTATTACAATTAATTTATTTTCTTTTTATACTTCGTTCAATAGTCAAACGCTTTCTTTCTATGTAACAACTTGGTTGTTGTGTGAAGGTTTTTGTGGAAAGTTTAGAAAAGACATCCACTTTCGTTCTCATAAAGAGTGCCATAGATAGCTTTAAAAATTTAGATTATTTAAGGGGCAGCACCTGAATTTATTTTAAATTTATCTTTCTGTCGGTGAGTAAAATATTTTATCTTTGACATTTGCTCAGGTACTGAACTTAATGTAGCTTACCTTATCTCAACGCAATCTACATCACTGTAGTGCTTTTAACGAGATAGAGACAATCTCACTTGGCCTTACATCTTTAGCATTCCAGGAATTTTAACTGAACACCTGAATTTATTTTAAATTTTGTTGTAACCATGTAACATTTTCCGATTAGTGTTACCTGGTATTTTAACATCTACCAATCCTTTCGTAACATTTTATGACTAAAAGGTGGGAGATATGCATTTATTTTCTTATTCAAACATGTTACAACCAAATTCATATGTTGCTGCCTTCACTTTGAAGACTTTTATCAAATATCTTGCATGGGTAGTTTATAAATTAGGAAAAGGCTCCTACAACATTCCACTGGTATTTGCACTGCCACTGTAATACGTATTTCTAATAAATTTCTGAAAGATCTAAGGGAGGTTCATCCAAAAAGATATTTTCCAAAAATTCTGTAGGTAAATTTCTATTTTTGGATCATTCTTTTACGTCTCTCAAACATCAAAGGTGACTGGACCTTTCGGGAAAAAAAAAATCATCACTAATTTGGAATGATTTAACCTTAAGTAGATTTTCTCGAAAATGGCGCATTTCCGACCCCCAAGTGATAGTGGTTAAATCATTCCAAAATTAATGATAGTTTCTTCTTTCGAAAGGAATACGAGGAATTTTCAATCACCCTGTGTTTAGACCATTGCTTGGCATTCAGGGATACGCCGCTTCGATTACGGGTCTGTCTATCCTTGTCCAAATTTTTCTAAAGTTTCCTTGGATCACCCATACGGTCTAGGTGAAGAGACTGCCCGGCTACAAGCACTAGTAGCTGGTGGGAATGAAACACCCACACACACCTGACATCTCTTTTCCATGTTTACGATATTCCTTATAGTCTCTTCATCATCATCATAAGGTCGTCAATCCTAAGACTAGTTGGACACACACTTTCCAATCTTTCCTATCCTGAGCTAATCTTCGCATTTCCCTAAAACTAGAACATCCCACATCCTTAACTATTTGCGAAGAGTAATCTAATCTAGGTCTACCTCTACCCCTCCTAACTCCCGTTTCTGCCTCTAATATGTCTCTAACTAGACCTTTATGCCTGAGAAGGTGTCCTACCAACCTATCTCGCCTATTTTTTATTGACGTCCATAGAGTCCTCTCTCCTGCAATGTCTGTCGTGAATAAAAGTAGGCGCTCTGTCAACAGTTAGTAAGTTGAAAGTAGAAAATAAATGCGACAGTCATATTGCGGACTATGCCAATTTTGAACGTCCGATCTACATGCCCTATCCCAAATTAATAATACCTATGATACCTGTATTAATCATATACATGTGTCTTACAACAATTTACACAGTGGTGTTTATTTCACCCTTAAATAACTTCAGTGAAATGAAGGGTTATTGCGTCTGAAACCTTTCTTCAAAATTGAAGAACACCAATTCTTTGCAATCGAAAAGCTATTGACTGCAATAGTTGCAAATAGTTTTTGTGGGTGCAAATCATTTTTGTTGTATAGATATAAATTAATTTATAACAAATCGGTCGTGTACTCCGAATTGAAATTGGGTCACACTTTTTTGTTTTTCTAATTATAGCCACTATGGTCAGTGCCTTCTGTCAGGATTTCATCACGCTCGCGATTTATGGAATCGTATTTGGTTTCACAATCGGTGCGTATGTGGGTCTAACTTCTGTTATTTTGGTAGATCTTTTAGGAATAGAAAAACTCACAAACGCTTTTGGCCTTTTACTGCTTTTCCAAGGAATAGCATCTCTTGTGGGACCGCCCATTGCAGGTAAGCACCGCATACTGTTAAACTATTTCCTAATATTTCTGATACTAACCAAAAATTTACAAAATGCTATACTGGTTGCGAAAATAAACCTTGGTACAAGAAATCTCAACGTGCTCATTTTGCGAATGGCCGCTTCCTAGATCTTTTAATGTGCGCGCGCCGATTTGGTGCTATTGATGAGAGCGGCACATTAATAACTCAATGCCAAGATCCACATTTTCGCATACTGTATATAAAGTTTCTCGTCCTCGCACAATTCCTTATCATATTTACAAGTAATTGTAATCGCTGCAGCTTAGTAACTACTGGGATTCGTATTTAAGTAAATTTTTACCGGTATAATTGCCTACTTCTAAAAAAGCTGTTACTGACATTAACTAATTGAATACATTTTAATTACTTACGAAAAGCTAAAGCTTTCGCTTGGTCAAAAAGAGCAGAAGGGTACTTTTGCAGAACTTATTTTAATTTTTACAGGCTCATTATATGATGCTCTGCATTCGTATGATCCCGGATTTTGGGTATCCGGAGCCACGGTGGCCTTAAGTGGCGTAGTGTTATTTGTAATACCTCCAATACAAAGGCACCGCGCGAAAAACAACGCGAGAAGAACTAGTGAAGGTGAAATATAGCAATTACTGCAACTTAGTTCTAGTATAAAATATTACCATTCGCTGTAATGTTCCGTATAAAAAAACATCATTTACACTGAAATTCATACATTCATACATACACATTACACATATCTTCTCATATTATGTGATATGACCAATCAGGCTGATCTTATAATACTGACCACAATGAAATCTGGAATTTTGTAAATATACCTAGTGCCGTTTTACATTGCACGTGCCAGCAACTGTAGAGTGTAGATACTAATAGAAAATAAAATAAAAGTTAGAAAACAATGAACACATAATTACAAAGGCAATTTTTATCGGTATTACAATTAATTTATTTTCTTTTTATACTTCGTTCAATAGTCAAACGCTTTCTTTCTATGTAACAACTTGGTTGTTGTGTGAAGGTTTTTGTGGAAAGTTTAGAAAAGACATCCACTTTCGTTCTCATAAAGAGTGCCATAGATAGCTTTAAAAATTTAGATTATTTAAGGGGCAGTTATATTATAATATATTACTACACATATATATTAATTTTTTATACTAATTCTACATAGAATTGATGGAACTACGTAGCGCAAAAGTATAAAAAAAACTTCCTCAAGCCAAAAATGACTACGACTTTTTGACTGTTTCAAGTGCGGAAGAAATTATTACATTATTAAACGCAAAATGAATTTTGCACTCAGGAATGTAATTTGTTTTGATCAGTTTTTAATCCAAAACTTCAGTAGCTGTATGTTATCGTTTCCAACAATATTTTTCATATTTCTCTTAAATTTATTCTCATACTCACACCCTTTTTGTCTTCCATCTTGTTAATTTTCAAAAAAAAGGATTGTGCGAAAGTGAACCTTAAAATAAATATTAAGAAAATTAAACTACTTTTCTTATTAATGTTTCACTTTGTTAGAATTTCACCCTACAATCGTTAAGGCCTAAAATCGACCAGACAAAACTAATTTTTTTCTGTCCATCGGGAACATATTTTTTTCTGGACAAAAGGTACCCTATGTCCTTTTTTGTACTCCTGACAATGTATCTTCAAACTTTCATGATGATCGATTGAGTTGTTCAGGCGTGAAATCGACCACATAAAACTAATTTTTTTTATCGCTAGGAAACAATATTTTTAATGGATAAAAAATATCCTATGTACTTTTCGGTACCCTTGACAATGTGTGTACAAAATTTCATGGTAATTGGTTAAGTAAGTAAGGCGTGAAAAGCCGACAAACAAACTCACATTCGCATTTAAAATAGGGTGAAACTAATAAACTGAAACGTTAAAAGGCAAAGTAGTTTTACATGTTTAACATTTCAAAATGTTTCATATTGCACCAACCAAGATATTAGTGGAAATTATTAAAAATAAATTTTTCCAAAAAAAAAAATAAACCATGTCAATTTATAAACCAGTGACAATCTAAAGCAAAATTAGCGTATGCCAGAACTGAAGTAAAACTTCTACGTAATATATTTCGCATCTTTTCACACAAAATTACTCATTTTAGGAGAATGTTTATCGCTTTAACAATTCTCAATTACAATTTCACTTTCCGCCTTAGCTATAAATTGTTTTACGTCGAATTCCGTGACTATTTTTACTATCAGTAGAAGTTTTACTTCAAAAACTTGGCTTAAATTTGAAAATTCATACTAAGTACAAGTATTTGGATAGTCTACTGTCTTGTAAAACGGCCTTAATAAGACTTAATTCGAATTTTTAAATATCATTTGAACAATATTATGAAGGGTGTATGGCTATATACTAACAATAAGATTTTATTAAGTCAGTATTTGTGCTCTACTTAATCCGTCGAGTGGATGTATGCACGTATAATTGTCATGTATAATAGGTATACGAATTATACTTTAATTAAGCCACTAACGTAAGTTACGTACTATTTTAAGAAATTTAATTGATTAATGATTAACTAAATGCACCTGATTGATTAATATATAAATAGGTTATACTTTTTTAGCAGAAAGAAACTAAAGAATATATTAAATTATTTCCATTGCAATTGTTTTGTTTAAAGAAAACCATCCTCGCAATTTAGTATTAATTTATCAATAGTGATTTTTATTGATACAGAAGCAGTTTTATGGGGAGAACAGGTAGGTAATTATCGACCCCTCTTGCCATTGGTGAGGCTTGGTAAGATGTGGTGGGAGTCTTCCTTCCCTCACGTGAGATATACGTGAGCAGAATGAGACACCTCAAAAAAAAAAAGTAAAAAAAATTAATAATTTTAATGATAATCTCCATATGTATATAAAGGAGCTTATCCTGTCTGACAGTGTTATCCTTAGACGAACCAAACTACATGACCTAGAACAGTGGTTCCTAACCTTTTCAATATTGTTACCCCTCTGACCTCTTAGGAAAATTGACTGTACCCCGACCTTAAAATGTTATCAATTCAAACAATACGAGCAAATACAAATATCTTTATTAATCACAAATTACAAGCAATCCAAAATTCTTAGAAAACGATTTGAAAAACTTCACTTATTAGATGAACCCAAAGCTAAAGAAACTATGGATTGCATTTCTTTCTCTTATTACAATGTGTACTACAAAATAGCATTTATTTGAAAATACGTATTTTGCAATTAGGATTTAAAATACAAAGGGGAAATCTATTTTGTGTTTTACATTTGAAATAACAAATCCAAAAAGTATTTGCATTTTGTATTTAAATACTTTTAAAAAACCATTTCGCACATCTCCAGTGGTGGCAAAGGGTATTAGCATTTATAAAGCTGTTAGCTAGAACAGGATATTCGGCACCAGCTTTTCGCCAAAATAAACTGTAAAAATCTCACGAAAATGCGCATGTAATCCTATAACGCGCATTTTAATCACACACGCGTGAGCCGTCAGACCAGTCGTCCCGCACCATTTTTTAATGACCACGCAATGCCAAGACCTTTACTTTGATATACGCTAAATATACCTGGACCTATATGTGCTATTAAGTAGGTGTATGGATATTAAAAAATTAAAGGCGAATCTTTGAAATATCTCACTTTATTTGTTACTTTTTGTCGACACTTGATATTTCTTCTTTTTCATAAATTTGAATGTACTTATGGCATTTATCAAAGCTTTGCGAATGTTCGGTTCGCACATCAAGTAGAGAAGAACAGGAACCATCTTTGATGCCTGTAATAGTTAATGTCGCACAAAATAAATTTAACATAAATAAGGAAGTTTATAGGACAATAATCTTCGAAATAATAATGCTAATCTTAATCAGAGTTTAACTACCAGCTTATTCTTACCTCAGTTACTAATGTTGCCAGTATAATTAGAGAAATTGGCAAATACACTTCTAACGTAGAATTTAACAACAAAATAAATTTTAATATAGTTTCCGGAAAGTTGAAAAAGAACACCATGGTACAAAGGTACACTACTGTCTGAAATAGAAAGTACTAAAGAATAAAGCTTTACTGATGGTCTCATTTTGAAAAATTTACTTTTCGTTTGTCACGACGTTCAATTCTAATCCTTCTTGAGCTTGATCTTTCTTGATCCAACGAAGACCATTTCAAGCAGAAGTAACTAAAAATGCCATCAAGTTATTGCTTATGAGACTGGAAAATTGCCTACAATTTTATTACTCACTCCACCTTAAAATAACTTCTTCAAAGTTCTTATTTGTAATCAGAAGTTAAAATGGTTTAAATGCAATTACAAGATTTATAAGAACCCAAATAAATTATCACATCCTGTATAATTCAAAAATAAAGTTTCAAAATTTTAAACACGAAAACTAATATTAATTTTTTTTAACGAAACACTTTATTTTATAAAACCAAAATTATGTGTTTGTTTCAAATTGAACAAAAATTACTTTCATATTTAGAAAAAAGAAATTTTTATGTACCAAAAATTCAATTTTATTTCATTTGAAAGCGTCTATCTATTTTTATCACATTACGAAATTCAAATGATAGCTGTACGTAGAATAAGTACATCTAAATAATAAAATACACTAACTAAAAATAAAAAGCGCAAGAAGAAACAATACTGAAAACTATGCGTATTTGGACTTATCGTCATGCAATTACCTAATTTTCAAATATAGCGCCAGTTATTTATCTTTTTGATCACTTGATGATCATTTCCTGAATAATGACATTTAATTCTATAAATTCGGTTATCTATGATTTTAGTTTTCACTTTATCTATTGTGCTCACTTAAAGATGATCTTATCTATGATGATAACCCTTTGTATATCTATTATCTATGATGATAGCATAGTGTTTTGTCTATGGTAGTCTATTATCTATGATGATAGTGCTTATAACCTCGAAATTGGCGAGTACTTTTCTACATTTTATCGTTAATTTTTTTCACATTTTTTCATTACAATGACTCTAATAATGAGTAAAGTAGTAAGGAACACATATAAAAACTTGATTTACGGTCCAATCAACTCTCAACATTCGAAACGAATTCAAATTAGGAAAGCTTCCACAATGATAAAGACAAAATTTGAAGGAAAAATAAAACAAATAACTATGTGTGATTTAAAAACAAGGTATAATAAAGTTAAGGAAATTTAGTGTGATAATAAACACGTTTTGTTAGAAATGCGTTATCTATCAACATGATGGAAACACTTATTAAGGAAATTACTGCTGACCAAGACTTCTCAAACTTACGGGCAATTGTGATATCTGCAGAAGGCCCTGTCTTTTCGGCTGGTCATAATTTGAAAGAATTGGTAAGTGCCTAGGAGCTAAATCAAGTCACTACATTTAATGTATCCTACAATTTGTAGAAATCAGAACTTGGGAAAGCACAATATGAAAAGGTATTTTCACTTGCAACTAAACTAATGCTATCAATTATAAACAGTCCCGTCCCTATTATAGCTAAAGTGGATGGATTAGCTGCAGCTGCAGGTTGTCAACTAATTGCTCAATGTGATATTACAATTTGTTCTGAAGAAAGTCAGTTCTCGACTCCTGGGTAAGTAGATAATCTAATTAAAAGTTGTTTCTTCTTTGTTAAGATAGTTAATAACAAAACTCAAAAGCTGTAATATAAAAGTGCATAAGGTGATTATATTTAAAACTAGTTGAAGTGTAGTATTATTATTTCAGTGCAAATTTTGGAATTTTTTGCTCAACCCCTGGTATTGCCTTAGCTCGCTGTGTTCCTAAGATGGTAGCACTTCATATGCTATTAACTGGAAATCCTATAAGCAGTAAAGAAGCTAAAGAAAGTGGTTTAGTGAGCAAAGTTGTTTCTAAAGATAAGTTAGATGAAGAAGTAGATAAAATATGCAATGCAATCCTACTAAAAAGCAGATCTGTTATTGAACTTGGAAAGAAATTCTACTATAAACAAGTTCAAACTGATATAAAAAATGCTTATGCAATGGGAGAAAGGCAAATGGTTGATAATGTTGGCATGAAAGATGGACAAGAAGGCATCCTAAGTTTTGCAGAGAAACGGAAACCTGTATGGTCTTCATGATTAAAAGGTACTGTAAAAATCAGTTAATTCAATTTTTTACATCATTTACCAAAACATTAGTATGGTTTACCTTTATTGCTGTTGTTTTCAAATTTTAAATTAATTATTGAAAATATTTTTATTAATATATTTATATTATAAAATGGGTATCTAATAGCTTTACCTATTTTGCCATTTATTCTTATCCTTTTTGTTCCTCAATTTCTACATATATGTTCAACAGGATTTAGTTTTATAAATAATTTAAAAGTGCTTACTTTCCTATTGAGGTGCAATATCATAAAAATACTTTAGGAATTACCATATCATAAATGGAATCACGTCCTCCAGAACAAAAACGAAAATATTATAAGTAATATTTCTGTTGTCTTTTGCACTCCAATTTAAATCACATTTTACTCCAGTTATATCACAATGAAATTCTCCATATCCTATCAGTGGAAGGACGCTTACAATAAAAGAAAACAACCAACAAATTGTAACTAACGCCACATAAAATATAAAAGGGAGTTCTTTCTCTGAAAGTAAAAATACATCTGGAGTCATAAATTTTGGATTTTTTTTACTTCAAAGTTAGATTTAGTAGGTTTACAATTTCAATTTATTTCCCAATCAATTACTTCCATGACCATAAATAATTTTATATAAATTCTACTGCATAACATAAAATGTTTACTGTTTGGATATGATTAATATTTACTGAAGATAAAATACAGTAGATGCTCAATGGTGTGGACCAAAAAACAACATCTTTTCACATCATTGTTTGTTTCACGATAGTGTATATTATCTTATTATATTATCGTCAGTCTGATTGAGAAAATAACTTTTACCTAGATATTTTTAAAATTACAAATTGGAAATTATTCCACCCCAACAACCATGTAGTATGTATACTTGTCTAAAGTGAATATCAAATATATGGGGGATTTACCGGAATGACGCAACGTCAAATATACGTTTGTTTCTATAACCGAAGGTTTAGTTTGTTAACGAGTTGCGGCAATCTAGCATAATTCGTTCCCTTTCTGTTATGCAGTGTTTATACTGAGTGACTATACTCTGTTTTTTTTTTAACTTCAATAATGTATACGATCCAAATACGCGTATATTTACACAAAAGAAATAAAAATTATTCAAGATATTATTATTTATTTGTACAAATCCTTATTTTGTGATTTAAACTTCATTAAACTGATTACAAACATGGTCTTGAAAACACACAAGAAAAATTACCACTTATTTATTAACCAAAAAATATTAAAACTTTAACTACCTTTATTTTCTTGTTTTGTAAGAATGTACTCCTCCAAAGCAATTAAGGCTATGTTGAGTTTTTCAAAAATTTTCAACATTGTTCTAAACAATGCGAATAAGCGACAGGAAAGAGTTCCGAAAATCCACCTTCAAAAATTTCAAAATTTAAGTATTTCGGTTGTTTGCATTAGAACAAACAGTATTCGTACCTTCCATAAAAGGAAGAAACTGATGTAAATAAGTAACCAGTAAGAATCTCCTCGCATAAGGTTACTATAGAAAGGCTAAGAAACGGTAAATATGTTCTTGAAACGAGTATAGACGTTAAACAAAATGCAACAAGCAACCATATATTTAATAAACTTCCTAAAATTCCTAAAATTGTATAGAAAACACAAAGAGTAATAATACAGTTTCACTAATTCGTTATAATTTAGAATTTGTTTCATAATTCAAATGGTTATATTGAAAATATTCTGTTAATCTAGATGTTGACTTCTTATTTTAATAAGTCTATACAATAGAAATTAGAGAAAGTAATATGCTTTTTAGTTAGATTTTAGGGAACATCTTAAAGTTAATCTTGCAAAAGTTTAGCCCTTGGTCCATAAAAAAAGTTCCTCTCTTGATTCACCCTCCATTCATTACTATATAAAATTTCAATTAACAAACCGACAAACACATGAGTAATCTTGTGAGAATTTTGTTTTTCTTTTCGAGACATAAAATTATGGAACACCTCATGTATTCATTAAGTTTAAATACTTGTATACGTACATTCAAAAAATGTATTATATGAACAATCTTTGTAGATATCATTCATGTGTTCACAATTATTTTACTGTTATAGTGCATGTCACTTACCAAATATTATGATACACAGTCCTAATAATGTTTTATGAGAAATATCTAAAATTGTGTCACAGACTATAGGATCATCAATTAATTTCATTTTTATCTTCAGTACTAACAACTTGTGTGAGTGCTCACTTGTATACTTTTGAATACGTTATACAACTCTGAACAATAAGCGGTAAAAAGTGGCTAGACCACTTGTTGATGCAGTGGTTGATTTTGAATAAAACGAAATCAGATCCCTTTTATAAAATGATATACCTTTTCCTTAAACCTTGTGTTTATTTCAGATATGCACACGTTTAAACGCAAATTAATAACTTTTATATAAATATATTTTTACGCTTTGGAGAAGCTAACATGACAAATTAATATTTAATTTTGTGGATTTATACATATCTTTTTAATCAGAACATTCAACGCATTAAGGAGAAAGTATTGTTCAGAAATATTTATTACTTATCTATTTACTTAATATCTATTCGGAACTAGCGTATTTGTACTACATGTTAAGTTTAAAAGTATCAGCAATCTACGTTTATAAAAAAAGAGTACGGGATGATCGGTCGCACAGCTCACGCGTACCCAACTAAAATACGTGCCATAGGAATACATTTATTTTCGTGAAATTTTTGCGCAAAAAAATTCTTACATGCAAGAATTTCGCAAACACCTTATATGTATCCACATGTGCAAAAAAGCGACGCCAAAAAAGTTCATCGTGGCACTATCCTCTGTACAGGAATATTTTTGGTAAAACATTGCTTGCCTAACACAGGCTGTTCTGTTCTGTTTAAAGTAATACAATTGGTGTCGTTTATTACTTAGATTTTATTTTACAACGAAGTTTCAACAGGCAGACAGATCCTCTTGGTATACTTCTTTGATAACTCCATTAGAAATATTTAAAGAAGAATGTTTTTCTAGATTCCATTCTTTTATTTCTAAAGGTGCCGTAACATCATTCATCAAAATATCACTGCATTCTTTTATAAATACCTCCAACAATTCTGAGTTTTCCTATAAAATTCATTTTTAAAAGTTAAAAGTTTTTACTATTATTTTATAATTAGTGATATTATGCAAGCACATTCTTATTTTTCAACAGTAGGTGTCAACATTTACAAAAATTGTACAATTTAGTTACCTTTTCTATTTGCTTCTCTTGAAGAACTTTATGTGTTTTGTATAATTCGTAGAGCATAAGCCCTCGAAGTTTACATCTTCCAACTCGTAGCAACTCTAAAATTCTCAAAATGTCTTGACAAAATGTAACTTTCAACATTAAAATATCCTTATCCAACTCTAAAATTATATTTTCCATTAATTAAAATATATTTTGTCTGATTAATAAGACATTGTGAAAATATTAAATTGATTCACTAAAAATTTTGTTTCAAAAAATA